AGTAACGCTGGACTTCCACGGCGTCTGAGAGCTATCTTCCTCTAGAAGCAGCCTCCGGAGCTCCTCCGCAACAGCCCCGCTCAGAGGTGGGAAGTCTGAGAAGATATGGGTCCCCTTCTCTAATAGCAGAGGATAGCTCCGGGATATTTCTGGGTCGTTTTCAAGATCTGCCTCCAGTCCTGAGAGCAAGACTAAAGGCAGATTGTGGTTGACGTAGTCTTCGGGGTAGGCGTCCATTGCGGGCAATGGCTGTTTCGTAGCGCGGTCACCACATGTCTAGAGGATAGAGAAGACGTGGGAATTTAAGGAAGGAACAAGATATAGAAATCCAGGGTGTTAACAAAAGTAAAGCCCAAATATGCTTCAGTTTCAATGATGTTTTGGGTAAGATAGGCAATGGGGGATACTGCCATTTTGGGCGGTCAACTACATATGTATGTTTGGAGTTTAGCCACGGGAGTTGAGCACGTACTCTTATTATTTTGACATATGTAGATCTATATGTTGATAAAAAAAGATTTGACATGTCAATAACCTTAGTGTGGCAATATAAGAGCTTTAATTGGCGCATAGGTCATGATTGGCAATTATACGTCTGAATAAATCCGCTATATATATTGCCTGGGTGTTTAGTATTGTACGATTGTATGATTGTACTATTTTGCGTTCAATCATTTAGATTCAGATTTATATAACTGGCATATGCGTTGAATTGGATAAGAGATGTTTATTTATGTACTCAGTCTATGTATAATATGAGTTGATCAGTACCATCCTCATATACAAAGCCTATTGAGCCTATTAAGGGGGTCTTCCAGAAGAAGCAATTTGCAACCCACGTGGAATCTCAAATACTTGTGAGGAATCTAATATATACATGTACATAGTATCTATTATCGATCAAGTATATATTCTCCCTACTCCGTACTTACATGTATATGCCCAGTAGGTACTCCGTACTGGCAAATTAAGATCTTCTGTGGAGAAAAAGGCGTCAACGCTAAGAGATCTCAGAGAACTCCCTTTTCTTTCCCTGAACTCCATTAATACCTTAAGAAAAGTTTTACTTTCTCTCTTTCTATACTCGGTATAACCGTGATCCCTTTAATCTTCTTACGCTCACAATTTCTTCTAATCTCCATATCTCAAATACTGTAAGGGGGAGGAGCAGAAACCCTTATCAAACATCATTCGCATGCAGTAGATCATGCGTGTACCCATTTTACCCTGCATCCGATCCTTTAAGTTTGTTTGTTTTAAGGGTTCACCCTTAAGACTATTGAACCATGTCGAACGGAAATCCCGTGCAGGCAGAATCGGCTCTGCTTAGTCGCCGTCGACGTCGTAAATCGCTGCCTTCGCGCAACGGAACTGATCCAACCTCGCCTGAAGTCATTTCCTCCCTCATTTCGTCCCTTTCCACCATCTCCGTCCCTCTAAACTCGCACTTTGACACCTTCCCGAAGATCGACAACGAATCAGACCCGGGATTGCCAGAAGTACCGCGCACCGCGCCAGTTTACTCCTTTCCTCCATCCGAGCAACATGGGTTTGGAATGAGTTACGGCGCCTACAAACCGACGGTCGAGCCACCCGCGCTACCGGAAAACCCATTTCTACACCCGGACGATGCAGCCTCGTCGCCTGTCATTCGCATGGCCAGGGCGCCCCCGTCACCAAAGTCACCCCGATCGCCGAGATTCAAGCCGTTCAGAACCACCGACTCATCGTCCACTCGCCCAGCCTCGAGGGAATCCTATACTTCTGTGATAGCTGCCCCGGAGCCTTCCTCATTCGGAACGATCAGCACGGAGCCTGGCCCCCGCCTATCAACCCCGAGCATTGCTTCAAATAGTTCTGCAGGGCGGACAAAAAGCCTAAAGGGTCAATTTAGTCTACTGAAGAGGTCATCACGAGAGTTTATTGGCGAAAAGGATCCACAAGTCGAGCGCCTACGAAAGACCACCAGCTACAACGACAGTTTACGACACAACGTCCCGCGCAGCCGAGCGAGCTTGCGCTCATTGCATTCCATGGCGGAAGTTACAGAGGAGGCTCGTCCTGCGGACGTCAAGGAAGAGCCATACGAAGAGAAAGTCTCAAGCACTCCACCAGCCAAAGATTACCAATCGTTCCACGGTACCCCAGATGCTAGCAATCCCGGCGGAATTGGAAGCGGTAGAATCATTCCAACTCGCGACTCATCTCTGCGACATAGGCATAGCCAGTCGTCGAGCTCGAAAAAGCATCGGTCTGCTCGTCATAGTCGATACTCTTCTACGGCTAGCAAAGAGTTCAATGCAGACAATGGATTACCGGGAACGAGCAATGACGCAGAGCAGGTGACCCGCCGGATCCAAGAGTTGAAAGACCAGCAACAGAAGATCAAGACCGAGTTGGAAGTGGGAAATAGCCCTGAACACTCGACTAAGACGAGCCCCGTGAGGCAGGCAAAGCCTTCAAAGGTATCGCGCGTTCTAGGATACGATGTCAATCAGGCCACCATGCAGAATGGACTAGGCCGCGACCAACCATCTTTCAACGACAGTGCTCCTTCTCCAAACGTGATGACAGGGAAAAGTCGCACTAAAAGCCGGCCAGGAGCGCCACTCTCATCGAAGTCTACCAACCTGCCACCGCTGTTGCCCAAGTCATCTGCGGAAAGACCGGATTCTGAGAGAGCTAGATACAGACAGTCCCTTGAGCCAATCACACCAACCACCCATCGCCGCACCCCATCCGGTCATCTGTCCCATCTGTCTAACGGGCGTCCCTCGTACACCACCGAACGACCATCCAGTGCGGATTCAATTGATCTTGCTGTTGACGACTATATCTTTTCGCCGAAGCTGACCCAGAGAGTGATCCACCCGACCACCGGCCGCTCCATCGCCTTTTCTGAAGTCGGTGATCCTAAGGGCCATGTCGTGCTCTGTTGTGTCGGCATGGGTCTTACTCGGTATCTGATGGCATTTTATGACGAGTTGGCCCGGACGCTCAATCTACGACTGGTCACGTTGGATCGCCCTGGCGTTGGCGAGAGCGGTCCACACCAGGGAGACGAGCCGAGCACCCCTCTCAGCTGGCCCGGTAAGCAAGACCGCCGAAAGATCCTAATCTGCGCTAATCAGTAACAGATGATGTTGCAATCGTTTGTAACCACCTCCGAGTGACCAAATTTTCCATCCTTGCTCATTCTGCTGGCGCAATCTACGCTCTTGCAACGGCTCTCCGAATCCCGCAGCATATTCGTGGTCGCATTCATCTCCTAGCCCCATGGATCCCCCCATCTCAGTTGTCTAACATCGGCTCTAAGAAGGATCCAGCGCCGACCAACGCGGTGCCTTACTCCCAGAAGATTCTTCGTGCTCTTCCCACGTCCCTCCTCAAAGTGGCCAATTCCAGCTTTATGAGTGCCACTAGTGCCAGTATCACCACCAGTCTACCCAAGTCCCCGCGACGGGCCAAGCGCAAGGCTGCTACCAAAGAAGCTTCCAATGCGAATGCCATCCCTCCAGTACCGCCTATACCTTCCGTTGAAACCAACCCACAAAACCAGCGAGTGGACATAGTACCGAATATCAAACCATCCGCTTCAACCACCGCGTCGTACAGAAAGAGTGACGCAACTCTCGGGTCTCGCGCAAAGTCTCCAGAGGATGAGGTTGAACGGCAACGTGACTATGATACTCGTCTCACCTACAAGATCTGGGAGCTGGCCACCACCAACGCCAACCCGGCGGTTGATTTGCTGACCTGCCTCGAGCGTCGCCAAACAATTGGCTTCCGCTACGTAGATATCACGCGATCAGTGGTGATCCACCATGGTAGCAAAGACCCTCGCGTTCCAGTGGACAATGTCCAGTGGCTCGGCAAGACGATGCGCCGCTGCGAGGTCCGGATCCTCGAAGGCGAAGGCCACGGCCTCATGGCATCTGCTGGTGTCATGGGCAATGTCTTGACCGAGATTGCCAAGGAGTGGGAGGACTGGACGATCCTTGTCCAAGGCAAACGCCGAGCAACTGTCAGCCATGCTGCACGGCCTGGACTCTCGATTCAAACTTGATCTCTCCAGTCTGCCATATTTTCGCCTTTCTCCGGTGTCTTTGGCATACCGCTTCCCTTTGAGCCCTGGTGGCTCATCTTCCCCTAATTACCATCGCCCTCGTTTCGACAGGCTAGCTGCAGCTGGTCTGCGGATTCCACTGTTCTTACCTACCTTGAACTTCTATATCCTATCATTTATCCTTACACCTTTCTTACCCATCTACATACACCTACGGGTGCGAGGTTCATGCCCTCTCTATGATTTACTGTTGACATGGGTTTTGCCTTTGAACAAAAGAACCCATCTGATTTAGCATAATACCCAGTCATGCCATATACTAATCAATATTGATAATTCACCTTGACTTATGGTAAACGTAAAAGTAAGACAAGATATAAAACAAGCATATATTATTTACATCATAGCTCCGCCAAGCATCAGCGCTCAGACGGGGCAAACCCGCAAGTCAGGGATGGCATGCCCTTGGCCCCTTGACCCCACTTCTCCTGACCTGTCTGGAACTTCGTGATCTTTTTCTTTTTATTGTTAGTTCTGGAAGATCCAGGTTCAAATGTGCAAGTCTCGAATGTTCCCCTAAACGTTTAACTGTTAGCTCCGCCTGGAACGGAGGATCTCTTGGCTTCTGGAACAGGTCACGTTGTTTCGAAGTCACCTCGGATCTACTTGGAACATCTTGGATTCAGCTTTCCCTGATACAAGTCAAAAGCTACACGGCTATAAGCGCAATTCTCCATGCCTTCTTCCCAGCGGCGGCTTCGACTGATCGTTGTTGCGGTTATCGCGCTTCTTTTCATGGTCTTTTACTACACTGTACGTGCCATATCTCCCACTTTCGCACTGGTTCTTCAGATGCCTAATACGACGCAATCAAATCCAGGGCGATGCAAGCAAAATCCAAAATCAAAAGTTCTACCGGTCGACCCTTGACGCAATGAAAGCGAAAGAGCAAGCCAAGCAGGCCAACGCCCAAGAGAAGATTCAGCATCCAGTGCATGCGCCCGGTCAGAATGGCGCTGCCGGGGCGGGTGTCGGAGAAAAGCTGCCTATCGCTGAGGTCGAGCAAGCTGCTGTTCCTCCTGCGACAGAGAATGAAGATACGGAGGAGGTCCCGATTGCGGGACGGACGAAGATGACCGTTCCCAAGAAGGCGAATCAGGATGTGCCATCAGAGGTCCAGTCGGAGATTAAGAGCGAGGAGGAGAAGGAGCGCGAGGATAAAGAGAGAAAAGAGGCCGAGGCGAAAACGGAGCTTAATGCTATTCTTAAGCGGGCCCCAGGTGTGTTCTTTTTTTTCTTGTCCCCATTCCATTTCTTGCCCGTATTCAAGACTAAATATCCAGTGATCGTCTTCTCCAAATCCTACTGCCCCTATAGTAAGAAAGCCAAGTCGGTCTTGCTGGAGCACTACTCTATCGAGCCGAAACCGTTCGTGGTCGAATTGGACCAGCACCCGCTTGGGCCGTATCTGCAGGCCCTGCTCGCACAGAGCACAGGGCGTCGTACTGTGCCCAATGTGCTTGTGAGTGGAAAGAGTATAGGTGGTGGAGACGATATTGCGGCATTGGATCAGAGCGACGAGCTGGCTTCGACGCTGCGACAAATGGGTGGGAAATGGATCGTGGACGTGTCGCACCAGGAGGTTGAGAAATCACTGTGAGGTTAGTATTGTAAAACAAGTTTCAAGTTTTAATAGCCATAGTCAATAGCCTTGGTAGAGAATCTGGGGGGAATATGGTCGTTGCAGTCCATTACATTGGGCATAGGAGCGAAATTGCTCAGGAACTCCAAGCTCCAGCTTAATATTTACCACATGTACTTCTACTTGAAAATCAGTCAACTAACGTCGGTGGAACGAGTACTGGTACAAGTACCGATAAGGCGATAAGCTGATAAGGAACCCTAATTGCGCTAGACCCAAAAGGTATCTAAGCGACGCACAATCCCGTGACATCCAATTTCGCTCCACCACCAAGTCCATTCGAATTTTGAACCTCCCCGACATCGACAATCTACACCCCCGGCAACCACCAAAAGTCACGTCAAGATGCGGTACATTCACTCCGAGGAACGGCTGCCCATTCTGGACAATGGTGAGCGAATTTCTTTTTTATTGAAGGAGGGAGGAAGCCGGTCGCACACAATACAACTTCTCTTTTGAGGGCACGAAATTCAGCTCAGCCTAGCACGACACACGATCAACGCCCAGCAATGCAGCAGAAGCAGGAGGGAATATTGTGTGGGATTGGCGACTCGCACATCTACCGGACAATTCTCTGATTTTGATTGTTCAAAATATTGAATTCTACAAAAAGAAATGCCATTAACTAACCCGAATCTCTTTTCGTTCTACAGTGAAGGTCCACATTAAGTCCCGCGTCGTGACTGTCGAGGGTCCCCGCGGCAAGCTCGTCAAGGATCTCTCCCACATTGCCGTCACCTTTGGCCGCCCCGAGCAGAACGTTATCTCCATCGAGCTGCACCACGGTGCTCGCAAGGGTGTTGCTACCCTCCGTACCGTCCGTACCATCATTAACAACCTGATGATCGGCGTTACCCGTGGCTTCAAGTACAAGATGCGTTACGTCTACGCTCACTTCCCCATCAACGTCAACATCGAGCCCAACCCCGAGACTGGCCGCGCTGTTGTGGAGATCCGGTAGGGAACCCTGGAACCTACGGTTTTTATCGATATGATTTGGAAATTATACCGTGAAAGTCGATTGCGAAGGATCCGGAGCTAATGTTTGAATGTTTGTTATTAGCAACTTCCTCGGTGAGAAGTACGTCCGCCGCATCACTGCCCAGCCCGATGTCGACATCGCTCCCTCCGCCAACGTCAAGGATGAGCTCGTCCTCACCGGTAACTCCCTGGAGGGTGTGTCCCAGTCCGCCGCCGACATCCAGCAGATCTGCCGTGTCCGAAACAAGGATATCCGTAAGGTGAGTTACACGAACCCGAGCACCTTCACTGAGAGGGCCGAAGTCTCTGGATCTATACTAACCATCCACAGTTCTTGGACGGTCTGTACGTGTCGGAGAAGGGCAACATTGTTGAAGAGTAAATGTGCCGCTTGGGAATGTATGGGGTGTCCGGGAGAGGTTTCTTTAATTTCGCCTACTTGCATATAGGGAAGCAAAGCGAAATGTCAAAAACAAAACGACCCTTTTGAAATTCACTGATTCCCTTACGCGAAAACGTCTTTGTATGTGGCATGTAGAAATGTGCGCCCGTGGCAATTCTATTACTTCATTACTTCAATACTATAAGTATTGAGTAGAGGGATATACGTCCCGCATGTTATATGTCGCGGGGTGTAGTTGAAGAAGGGCAGATCCGGGGGAATCTGGATCTGGCAGTTCCAACTCTCCAACCTTTCAACCTCCAACACAATTCACCTCAAGAGCAAATCGAGTCCAATCTATCTCCATAATAGAGCCATCCTCGAATACATATCTTAATCACTCAATCTACTATCAGTCCAGTACCACTACCTCAATCTCTCCAATCCCCTAGCACAACCCGCGTGACGTTATAGCATGTGAAAGCGAATCCCGGGCCCGCATGTGCACCTCTCCCTCCACTAGAAACGACGCAGACACATCCCTCGAAAGCAAAATGGGGTCCTGGTGGCTCGCACTGTGGAATATCGTTGGTGCGGTCTGGAATATGGTGCTTGATGTTGCTCAATTTTGGAGAGACGTGAGTGTTGTGCTCCAATCCTACCCGGGTATCTTGTATGCGGGGAGGGGTCTGAGCCTGAGATAGCAGAGACAAAAGACGCACAAGACATAACGTTGGATGTAGTTTTGGTCTGAACCTGAGCTAATAAATTTCCTCTAGAAACTACTATCTTGGTGGCATTCTAAGTCCCCTCGAGATCGACTCTTTCATACGCTAGCCAACGCGCAGAGCTATGAGGAGTGGGAAGAGGCAGCATTTGAGCTCGATGAGCTACAAAGTAAAGACATATGGTATGGAATCAAACTATCCCAGCTCAAGACCCAATATACCGAACCACCATCTAACCATCTACGCAGGCGCCAAAACCCCGTCAGCCGACACTACGACTACCGACTAATCCTCGGCCGACTCGAAGCACTGATGAGCGCGCGCGAGTCAGAAGACATCCTAACACTGGTAAACCTGCTCCGATCGGGGCTAGTACGCAATCTGGGCAACATAACTAGCACGAAACTATTCACGCACGCGTACGCAGGAACCAAGCTTCTAATTGACGACTATATCACGCAAGTAGCGCTGTCAATCCAGTACGTGACGTCGGTGCCAGGAGCACCGATGCACCCGAGCGGGTTCAGCTCGCAAGCGAAGCTAGAGCTGCTGCACGATACGCGGCAGGCGTTTGGGCGGACGACGCTGCTGCTGCAGGGCGGGTCTGCTTTCGGGCTGTGTCATCTTGGCGTTGTGAAGGCACTGCATTTGCAGGGTCTATTGCCACGGATTATTACAGGCACTGCCACTGGGGCGATGATTGCTGCGCTTGTGGGGATTCATTCTGAGGATGAATTGTTGCCATTGCTTGATGGGGATGGCCTTGATCTTTCTGCTTTTGAGAGGCGAAAGATCGTTCATGGTGGGGGCGAGGGGAATTCTGATTCCAGTTGGCTTGGGACGTTTCATCGCAGGATGAGGAGACTGCTGAGGAAGGGGTATTTGTTTGATGTTGGTGTTTTGGAGGAATGTGTCCGGGCTAATGTTGGGGATCTTACGTTTGAGGAGGCGTATGCGAGGTCGAAGCGCATTTTGAATATCACTGTTGCGACGACGGAGAAGAATGGGACGCCGAATCTGTTGAATTACTTGACTGCGCCGAATGTGGTATGTATATCTCCCCTTCTCCTTGCCCGTGCCAATGATATCTAACACATTTTCCAGCTCATCTGGTCTGCCGCCGTAGCATCCAACGCTTCTTCCTCAGGCCTCTATTCACCTGTAACGATCTACTGCAAAGATGAAACAGGCACAATAATTCCATGGCCACACACACAAGACGCAGTCTTCCGACCCTGGCGACACGTCCACTACAATGAAGGCGAATCTCCTCTCTCAAGAATCTCGGAACTCTTCAACGTGAACCACTTCATCGTCTCCCAAGCCCGACCATACCTAGTGCCATTTTTGCGTTCAGAACTGAACCTCCTAGACCGACGCCAAACAGGCTGGAGCAACCTCTCCCGCTCCGCAATGCGGCTAATAATTGTCGAACTGCGTCACCGGCTCCGCCAACTCGACTACCTAGGCGTGCTGCCTGCTCCACTGAGCAGACTCCTCATCGATGAGACAATCCCCGGACCGAACCTAACTCTCGTCCCGGACTTGTCTTTCTGGGATCTGAGGAAACTGTTCCAGAGTCCGACGAAAGACCGCGTGTCTGAGTGGACCCTTAAGGGCGAGAGGGGAGTTTGGCCGGCGATTAGTGCGCTGAAGGTTCGGGAGGCGGTTGAGATTGAGCTCGATAGGGGGTATCAGCTTGTCAGGCGGCGTCGACCGAGTGACGCTTCGCTTTCGGTGTCTGTACCGAAGCAGGTTAATGCTATGAATGAGGGGATTCCTAGGCGTAGGAGGGGTGGAAGTGAGAATGACGAGGGGATTCTGGCTGATCGGGAGTGATGGTTTATAGAGTTGTTATAACTGATGCAGATCGGTTCTATATCTGTATCTGCATGTAAATGGTATACTTTGGATGTTTTGACTTGGGAAAAATACCCCCTAGTCAATCCCCGGACTAATCAAATGTTGGCGTATTAGTTGAGCACGCCGGTCTTGTGAGAGAATTTCCATCTGGCCAAAACTCCCTTCTATCTCATCTTCTAAATTGAAAGACATCATAGTCTGTTGGCTAAGCTCTCACAATACTGACCCTTCCACAATTGTCAACCCAGTGGACTTCACAAATATAACCCGAATACCCTCAGCTTAGTCGTCTATACACAACGGACTAGAGACGAGTACAAATCCATTACCAAAAGACACAGTAACGCTGCACATGGTAACTACTCCGCTTATATTTGTATGGTTGTGTCCACAGGGGACTTAGGGCTTATCTCAAACAGCCTCCAGTTATCTAGATACTTGTTTCTGAGTCCAGATGAAATTGTCTGATGATGTATCAATACATAGGTGACGCCCGACTGGATAACCTCACGAATTAAATATTCCATTTGCTATATAACACAGCTATCGGGAGTACTTAACTAGACAGAGGGATTCTGCCAGTTTTCACTGTTAAGCAACGAAACCCTAATCATTTCCCCTTCTGTACTTAATAGAATGAAATGCCAACTTTTTTACTTGAAAGAATTTGTTAGAAAGGGTAAATGGGAATGTACCTTATTATCCAGTCCAGTTAGAAACTCCTATGACAACTAGCAACATGTCCCGGATTCGCTTGCCCTTTCGAGTGTTATTATCAAAGTGGCCTTGGATATAAAAACCCTATCGACAGAGCTATGGGTCTGGTGGATGTAAATGCCTTCTCTTTTTGCCCCAGCTTGTATCTTATAGGTACTAGTAGATAAGGATACTCCCTTGGTGGTGGAGAAACCCCATGGTCATATTCGGTCAAGGAAAGTGATTCCGAACGGGATATGTATGCGGTAATGTCAACCCTATTAAGTTGGGTTATCGAGATCATTGATGGGGATGAGGTGGAACTGGGAACCCGGGGTAAAACACCTGGGGAATCATCGAATAACTGGTTGGCGAACCTAATTAAACATCATTCAGAAGGACTATGTATGTTGTTTATCAACCTACATGGGTATATATGTAGTAGTTTCCAATATGTCTTATCCTAGTAAAAACCATCTGCGTAATGTGTGTAGTGATTTGTACTGATATCAATTTCTATAACGAATCTACGCTATATGACATGACTTGAGGCAAACGTCATATGAACAAATCATGTATCCCAGTCTTTGCTTATATCCACAGTTACTACCATATGGCTATCTGTCTGGAAATGGAAGGAGTCGTCCCCGCAAATCCCCGGAGTTCCGGGGAGGAATGCCTTTCCTTATGGTTCTGTAGTATCATTAGTATATATCCATTCTACTTTATATACACACTCTTCGTATTCCTTTCCATTACAACATCAATATGAGATCCGAAATTATTGATATACCTAGTCCCGTCGACAATGAGCCGATTCAAGATGCAGAAAGCCATGGAGAAATAGAAGAACCTGCTCTTACTGAACGATAAGATGCTTTTGGGGATGAAACAAATGCAGAAATCAAGTACAAGGTCTTGAAATGGTGGTATGTGATACCAACTCTGATTCTTTTCTCTCTCGTTTTACTGATAAGCCCTCAGGCAAGGAGGTCTTCTGATGGTTGCCGAAACCATCTCTCTGGGGATTCTCTCCTTACCAGCTGCTATAGCCGGGATAGGCCTGGTTCCAGGACTGATCCTCCTTATTGGACTTGGGCTACTCGCTACCTACACAGGTTATGTCATTGGACAATTCAAATGGAGATATCCTCATATCTCGAGTATTGCTGATGCCGGTGAGCAGATAATGGATCGGTTCGGTCGAGAATTGTTCGGAACTGGGCAATTGCTCTTCTTGATCTTCCTTATGGCCAGTCATATCTTGACCTTCACTGTGGCTCTCAATTCAATTACTGGCCATGCCACTTGCTCGATCGTTTTCGGTCTTGTTGGACTGATCTAGTCTTTGATTCTTTCTCTTCCTCGAACTTTGGAGAAATGTCCTCGCTTTTACTTGTCCATGAGTTAATTGTCCTGATCTGGCAATTTCTATATTCTAATTATGATCATTAGGATTTTCATTTCTGTGATGGTTACGATGATCGCCCTCGGAATACAAGACAACGGTGCCGCTGTTAAGCCAGTTGTCGAGGCCAACGTGGTGACTGGCATTATGTCGGCCTGTAACATCGCATTCTCATATGGTGAGCACCGAGAAGAAGAATAACGAAACCAACAGCCTAACCGTCTATCTATAGTCAGCCACAATACCTTCTTCACGTTTATGGCAGAACTCAAAGATCCAAGAGGACTTCCCAAAGGCTCTTGCACTTCTGTAGTCCATTGATATGACCCTTTACATTGTCGCCGCCGTTGTGATATACCGCTACACTGGAGCAGATGTTGCCTCGCCCGCCCTAGGCTCAGCTGGTCTGTTGATTTCCAGGATAGCCTACGGGATTGCCCTTCCTACAGTACGATCCACTCCCATATCTAAACATTCGAAAGCTGACTATTGAAGGTAGTGATTGCTGGAGTCATCAACGGCCATGTCGCAGCAAAATCACTCTACGTCCGAATCTTTGCTGGTACTGACAGGATGCATGAAAGAGACTGGGTTGCCATGGGTTCCTGGGTCGGCATTGCATTCGGCCTTTGGGTCATCGCCTGGGTCATCGCTGAGGCGATTCCAGGCTTCAACAACCTTCCCAGTTTAATTGCGAGTCTGTGCGCATCATCTACTTCGGAGCCAACCTCTAATGCTTTGAATCACAGACTGCACTGTTTGGTAGCTGGTTTATCTTTGGATTTACCGGCATGTTTTGGCTACACATGAATAAGGGGCTGTGGTTCTCTTCTCCTCAGGAAATCATGCTTACCTTACTAAACTCGTTGGCCATTTGTGTTGGTGTCATTCTAGTGAGTGTCTCTGACATAGCCATGAAAAGAAGTCAACTAATATTTTGACTTAGTGTGTTCTCGGTCTCTATGCTTCCGGATCGGCAATCCATAACAGCCCCAGCAGCACTAGCTTTTCGTGCGCTAGGACGGAGTGAGCACAAGCCTTGACTTTATATTCCATAGATACACATTGTATGCACATAGATTAGATTGAATCAACAGATTGTATGAATTATACCATGTATTTGACTAAAAGAGAGAATGGACTGCAACTATACCTGCTATTCTCATATAGTCAAGTTATATATATCACAAACCTCTCCAACCCCATTAGAGAGCATCCGACTCAGGCGGACCCTTATAATCTACTAAACTGTCAGCATAAATTCCCAGTCCGATCCAAAAGAACTTACATTTCCTCGCATAAACCACATACCAGACCGCCGAAATAGCCATAAACCCGACAAAAACAACCGAGGCATAATTCATCGACACAGCCGTAACCGGCAAAGCAGTCGGCATACTAAACAGCACCAACTCAAACGCAATCCAAGCCAACGAAATAACATTAACAAATCTCCCAACACCCCCACAGTTCCACGGCGCCTTAGCAACCTCCTCACGGCCACACCATAAACTCAAAAATATAGGAATAGCATAAGCCGTCGCAAGCGCAATAACGCCGACCGACACAAACGCAGTAAACGCACTCGTACTCCCGAGATTAATCAACCCCAACAACATTTGAATCCCCGTCAACAAAACCAACGCCCAAACCGGCACGCCCCAGCGCTGGTCAACACGCGCCCACAGTCTCGCCAGCGGAACGGCGTCATCACGGGCGACGGCCCAGGTTGCGCGCGACGCGGCAACTGTTATGCTAATCGAGCAGAAGACTGTTATAACCAGGACGAGGGAGACGAGGCCGAGACCGCCGGCGGGGGAACCCATTACGCGAGCCAGGATGTAAGGGAGGGCTTGACCTGCTGGGGCGTTTATGATGTCTTGTAGCGGGGGTAGGGTTGCACAAATTGGGATGATGAAGAATAGGCCTGCTGTTCCGCCGACGGGGACGGAGAGAGCTATTGCGCGGGGTACTTTGATTGCTGGGTTTGTGCATTCTTCTGCCATTGAGGAGATCATGCCTATTGCAGAGAAGGTGTATGCAGCTGGGAGGAGGCCGATGAAGAAAGTGAAGTTTCCCCAGCCGGCGAAGGATTTGTCGTAGTGGGATAGGGTGTATGATGCTGAGTGGCGGCCTGTGTCCGCTTTGATGGAAAGGGCGATTAGGATGATTATTATTGTGAGGAGGGTCCAGGATGCGCAGAGGGTGTCGACTAGGGGGAGGTGGTCATTTGCGAAGATGCAGATCGCTAGGGAGGCGAGGCAGACTGCGTAGAAGATTAGGAGGAGTTGCCAGCTGGATGCTGACCATGTTGGGTGGTAGATTGAGATTGTTGCTGAGAGCATCGAGGCGAAGCCGAAGTTTACGGAGAGGGTTATGGTCCAGTTGCCGATTAGCCAGATCCAGGCGTTGATGAAGGAGAGGGTTGTTTTGTTGGATATTTGGAAGGTCCAGTAGTACGGGCCTGCGGAGGTTGGGTAGCGGGAGGAGAGCTCGGCGAGGGATAGGGCAACACATTGATCGAGGAGGCAGACGACTATCCAGCCTATGAAGATTGAAAGGGGACCGCCACCGTAGATGGCGGAGAGGAGGGCTGAGCCTTCGCCGTAGGGGATTGCTGCTATGGCGAGGGTTTGGAAGAGGAGAGTTAGGACTGAGCGGTTGCGGCGTAGTTCTTGTTTATAGCCTAGACGGTCTAGTTGGAGGTTCTCGATAGTGCCCTTTTCATGCTCTTGTGGGCAGGGAGGAGAAGGGGTGATTTCCTTCTTCTCGAGCGCCATTACGGTAGCAGATGGTTAGGACAATCCGGCGTTATAAGGGATGTATGCAGCAGATGTCGTCTGCAGCTAGATACGAGGTAAATAAATATTCCCTTCAAGCTGTTTGGGCAATAGAAAGGAAGGATATATGCAGATTATATGAAGTGCAGAGCCATATGCGGAGGTACCGCGAATAGCATGGGTCCCATGTCGTATCACACGCCACCAAAGTACATATGTAAATAATGCAGTCCGATAGGGGTAGAGTCTCGCATTCTGCAATAAGGGATAGGTAAATATATACGAGGATTTGTAGACGCGGCTTCGAGCGTATAAAAGTAAAACCTAGGGCTAGAGGCAACGAGGATATCATTTACCCATTCGGTCTCTTCAGAACTATATGTTATAGACAAGAAATATAATCCAAAGTCAGAACATAAAAGAAGACAAGATAAGAGAAACCTTGACGCCAGGTCTAACCCCAAAAAGCAACTATATCCATGCGAGGGGAAGTTCTCCGCATTCGATCTGGGCTTGCTATTCGATAGGGGTATAGGATAAGACATAATAGAAATGCATTATGATTTTAGAGAGAAAAAGAGGTTTCAGATAGAAACAGAAAAAGAAAAACAAACCCCTAGAATCTCGAGAAACATCAGACATTACGAACAGGTGGCATATGGTATATACAGCAAACCCCCTACATGGAAATATAAAAATAATTACTGCGCCGTCGACGGCCGGCCCTGGGACCTGCGCGAGTGCAGACTAAGCCGGTGACCGGTGGACGGTGGACCCTCAGTAGCCAACAGGGGCGGAATACTAAATCCATATCCCTCGGTAGTAGCGCTACGATTCTGGGGATCGATCTCGACACGGACGGAAACGTCAAGTCCACCATACATGCCGCTCGCACAAGTGAACCCATCGGCGGCACTGTGCGTCGTTCCAGCCTCGACTTCGCCCTTGTGCAATGGTGCGTGACCGTCCTTAGGAAGACGCTCCAGTTTTGCGGAATTGGCTTCAAGGACACCGGTGTTACCGGGGCCTGGGGCGACGACCTCCGTGAGGATGGCAAAGTTGCGGGATGGCATGGTGACCTTATTCCAGTCGGCACCTTTCTCCCGGCCGCCGGGCTGCTTGTCGAAGAAAGGCATGAGGGTCTCGTCGCATTCGCGGTCGAGGTGGTGAATTTTGTTTCTGCGGGCGAGGAGGTTCGCGACGGCCTGAGGTGGCGGCTTATTTGTGATAGCGCTGCTGACGACGTTCACGATGAAACGGTGGTCGTTTTCGCCTGCGAGGTTGAGTTTCGGGTTCGAGTAGAAGCGGCCGATGGCGGCGAGGTGGACGTCGCCGCTGAGGATGGTTACGCGCACGCTGTGGCTGCGGGCGAGCTCTTGTAGGCGCTGGACTAGCATTTTGCGCTCGCGTTTGTGCTGGCGCGCGGTGTAGTGGTCGTCCAGGTCGTCGAGGAGATCGACTTGGCCGTCGAATTCGTTGAAGAGGCCGCCCGCCACGCCGAAGCGCTTGTTCAGCAGCCGGACCGGCGCGATCAGGGGAGACGTGAGGATGTTCTCGAGCCATGCGAGACGTGGGTATGCGATTGGCACACCTAGCAATACTACCAAGTGCTTGATGTCGCCGTTGGAGTCGACGATCTCGCGCTGCAGTCGGTCGAAGATCAGATCGTAGGTGTCTTCGTAATTGACCTGGTGGCGGGTGCGCTCTGTGCGCGCATCCAGACCCATAAAGGCAATGCGCTTGCCGAAGCGCATGTAGAGATTCCGGCTGCGCTCTTCCACGTACGGACCAGGCCGTTTGCCGATGATCCAGCTGTCATCCTCGACCTGGTTCTCAAGGACGTAGGTGTTCTCCACTTGACGTGGGTCGACACCAGAAGTTCCATTGACGGCGTGCATAGTTTGCGGGGAATCCGTAGTGAAAGTTGACTTGGGAGGAGCAATGTGGTGCTGGAAGAGACAGTAATACTTGAACGCGACACCGCCGATACCGCGGAAGACAGCACACTTCATGAAGTGATCCGTGTACGAGCCGAACCCATCAATGATATCATGATCATCCCAGATATTGACCTGGGGGATGCGACCATTGGCAGTGCGGAACGGCTCAGTGTTGTACCAGCGGACATAGTTGGCATAGTAGTAGTCATCGCACTCAGCTCGCATCTGATTGTTGAAGTCATGGTGTCGCCTCTTGTGGGGGTTCGAAATCGCGGTCCAAGGCTTGAGCGGGCCGTCCACACGAATACCGTCGTTGTAGATCTGGTCACCGCCGCCAACCATGACATGGAATGGCTTCTCGCCATGGACGCGCATCACATCGTTCCACAGGTTCGGCCCCACCCAGGCATTCATATCCGTGCCGACGGAAAAGCCATTGCACGAGTGGAACATGATGCGCATGGACTGCTCTTCTGCAGGAACGACAAATTCCCACGGTGTCTGGGCGTGGGCCCCAGACTCGTACAGACCGGGGATGTCGTACGCCCAGCGTGCCTCGAATGCCGCCACTGGCACTGTTAGCGAGAATCGCCAGAATGCCTTCAGGGGATCCTCGTAGAGCTTGAGGCCTTCGATTGTCTGGCTCGTCCGGGCCCTGCCATCACCGTTCTGGGCTCCGTTATCCACGGCGTCTACCTGGCGCAGGCGCAGCTGTGGCTGCTCTTGGGTTGGCTTTGTGACAATTAAGACACTGCCGTGCCAGGTGGTTGTAGCTTCGTAGTGCATGTTCTTAAGGTTGATCAGGGGACCGGAGATGAGCTCAAAGCGATCTTTCCCGCCGCGCGTGATGGGCTGTCCCGTCTCTCCATTTTGAGGCATCCCTGCAATTGCGAAAAAGTTTTGATTAGTTCGACTTTCACATTCAGGGATGCGTTTGCCCGACATACCGTTGACGGGCCGCGCACTGTACTCGGCCATAATAAAGGCAACTGGTGCAATTTAGGGATATCACGGGGGTGCGGAGAAAAAAGTAAGAACCGTGGAACCGTGGACTCGGGTCGCACGGGCTATTAAAGCACAATTGAGCGAAATTGGGTGGCAGGGAGAAAGGAAAGAATTAGACAGACCCAAGACGATAGGGCTACAGGGCTGAAAGAGAAAACAAGAAACGAAGCGAGATTGGGGGCCCGCTGCCTTGGCAATTAAGGAGGCAGCTCATCTCAGACGAACAGCTCTGACGCTGCCAAGACATACCAATGGACGGCTGGCAAATGAGAGAAGATGATACCAGCCACGCCCCAGTTTAGCCACGTAGCGCCACATAAGTGGTTTCTGGCTATTCCTGATTGGGCCAAGGAGGGTGGCGGTGCATTTCTTTTTAGCTGTCGATCGGGTTAAGTGGGTTTCTCTGATTTTCATGATTTTCATAGTCTTAAAGATTTTCTTGGTTTGGGCACTTATACATGCAGAATGCTACGATCAAGTATGTACGGAGAAGTAGGTACTTACGATGTAGGTACTTACGATGTAGGTACTTACGGAATAATGCATGTGCTAGCTACATGTAACTATTACCTAGGTTACTGTAAGTAACATATTTCCTCTGCCGGGTGGGGCTTTCCTATCTTAGCTGCCGCCGCTTTACGAGGGCGCTCAGAGTCAGGCTCACTGAGTAATTTTCAGTCCGAGCTCAGACTCAGTGAGCTGCTCAGATACATCACGTGATAAAGCCGTGAGGTCCAATAAGCGCTCAGTGAGCGCTTAGTGATTGTGATTAAATGCTCACTGATTGCTCACTGATTACTCAGACCAATTAGAGGCGTCTATTGAGCACTCAGTCTACGCCCAGTCCATACCTAAAGGAGCACTTTGCCCCACAATGTTTTTTTTTTTGCGATCACTTTTTGATGGCCCTCACTTCTCACTATGCCCCGATTTCTTGAGGTGCACGATGTTCTAGTCTCGTTCCCCTCCCAAAAATTAACGCACTAATACACGATGACGCAAAATTGGAAGGCACCGAGCTTATCTAAAACGGGGCGACGTAGGAGCAAAATCTTAGGTCATCTCAATTTACTGAATTATAAATTGGAACTATTTCCCTACTCTAAACCTATAGGATAGCTTTCTCAGTTGGCTACCTCATCCCTTCGGCTTTTCGCCTTTCTTTGCATTGTGTGGGAATCTATCAAACTATAGGTAGAAAACTCTTCTTTCCTAAAAAAGAAGAAATCGCCGGAGAGAAGCGCGGCAAACAATTAGCAGAGAGCGGCTATATTTTCGGCGCTCATATAAAAGATAATACCATCCGAGCAAAAGATAAAAGGTTACCTAAGACCAAGAATATGTACTACAAAGCAGTTAATCTTTAGATGAAGTGAGTTGCCATACAATTATATATAACGAGTACCCGGCGAATAAGCTACTAACCCGCTGCTAGGTTTGTTAAACAGTATAGAATCGAGGGCTACAACCTAGGGCTATGCTGTGCGATTCCAGATCATACACTTATCAACGAATTTCTACGGGGGTACAGTTATTCAGCGTAAGGGAAAAAAAGTAAAAATGGACGCCCAGTGATATTATCGGTTCTCAATTGTGCGGAAAGGCTCTTCGGTAGATTTGAAGAAAAATTGCAAATTAAGATTGTGTTGGAAGATAGGAAAGATATCTAGTGTAATCACCAAAAAGCGGGATTTTTTCAGGATAATCTGGGATGTTCGAGACCAAGCCTTTACCCAAAGAACGATCCGATCCTCGTTTAAATCTAGGGGTATTTACCCTTTTAATCAAGAGGTTATTCTTAGTCCTTTAAGTCAAAAAGAATTAGAATCTGAGGGTGAAATAATCCGCATTTTCACCCCATCTCCCCCCCTGAGATCCCAAGCTCAGTCACCAATTCGCCCCTAGGTACCATTAATCGGGTTCATAGGCTTAATACTAAGCTTATTAAGGATCTAGAGCAGGCTGAAAACCAATCCCAGAGGGTAAAAAGGCATATCCAACGAAGCATGGATGCAAATACGCTTTTATCCCAACAGCTCAATTTGGTGAAGGCATCTTTAAAGAAGTCTCAGTCCCATAAAGAAGCTAGGAATCAGCCTAGAAATGGCAAATCGATGATTGGATCAAAGCGCGACGTGCTAGGCCCTACTAGTGCAAATAGAAAGATCGTACAAAGGAATGAGGCCGATTCTAGGAAGCATCAGCGGAAACAGGCTCGGCTTGCCAAGGCATTAGAAGTTGAAGAACAGGCTCAAAGAGAGAGAGATTTAGCTGAAACTGAGTATGAAGCTTCAATGGCAGCAAAAGATAGTAGAGGTGCAAATTGGTATATAGATAGTCGTGGTGGTTATTTGTAAATAGTGATTTAATGCATTGATTTTTGCAGAATTTGTTATCCGGTGCAGTTCACCATATGCCCCGAAGGACAAAAGGACTACCCTAAAGTTCAATATAATATCACTTTTCGGCAGAATTATACCGCTTGTGCTTGTATATGATAACTGGGCATGTAGATGGCAGTGGAGAGCGTCCAATAAAAATATTAAAGGCACAACAGCTTTTTGGGACCATCATGACCCAATTTTCTGGCAGGGAGGTGGTTGCCACTCTATAGTTATCATGTTATATTGTATGAAAATACAAAATCTTACATCTTAAAGGTCTGTAGAGTACCGTGAGTCCGCCTCGCAGACTATCACTTTGAATACTGAATGAGATATTAATAAAGCATTTATTGAGAACTCGCAAGAGCAGACATAAAAAGATCTCAACCATACCAGGCAGGTCACAGAAGAAGAAAGTAGAAAATGACAAAAGAAAAGACTTCAAGGTAGCTCGCAGTCTACTCGACCTTGCCTTTCCCATGGGAAGGGTGACGATTCTCATCCGAGACAGGAACTGGAACTTCAACAAGCCGCCTGGACATCAAGGAAGGGCCAAGAGTGACACCTACAAAGTCTAGATGGGCAACCATGGTCCATAGGGACCAGGCTTCCCACGACATTCCTATAATAAGGAAAATAGACTGATCGGTTTCATAAGCGTCCGAGATCTCCACTTTCATACTGGGCGGTAGATCTTGGATCGCATTTTTGAAGCTTTCCAGTACTTCGCTATGACCTGGTATTTGACTGTGACCGTGCAGGGTCAGTTTGACAAGTACATGTTTCTCATTCACATGTGATGAAGGGCGTGGGATGCGCGAGGAAGGAGCGTGGTCATTGAACACGAGTCTGATTGGCTGGGTACCACTGAGAGTTTCAAACACAGCACTTGGAGCAGTCCGTGGTTTCTGTCGCTGTATTTCCTGAAACAAGGCGGCTGTGAACACACTTGATTGGCCTTTAAAGCGCTGAACTGCACCGAATAGTCGCATAGTCAACGATGCTTTCTGGCCCCGAGGGCTTGTTCCCTCATTAGGACCACAGGCCGCCATAACTTGGATCGCTCTTGAGGCCTGTGCTCTTGTTGCGGCGCCAGAGTAGCAACAATCAATTACCCCGAGGATATCGACGTGTCGCACAGCATCGTCTTCGGAGAAAAAGTCTGCACGGATATCGGACCATGAAACACGTTTACCGTCCTGGATAAAATACAGGTTCCCATCGACGATAGCTCCATGTCCGACGTAGTAGAACACGAATACGGAATGTAGTTTGGAATGATAACAGTCAAGAATCATTTTGCGGATCTTGGCTGAAAGATTCCAACCTGGGGTGGGGTCCTTTGCTTTCAGAATGTGATCGGTATACTGGAGGTCGAAGGTTTCCATGACTTTGCCAATAGTGATGATATCTTCCTCTGCACCGGTAGTATCATTTTCCCAGCGAATGAGGATGGCCACTTTCCGGGCGTGAACATTGCCACGGGATGCTGCTACCTTCTTCAGGTCTGCTTTTAAGACAGGGAGATGATGAACCCGAGGTGCCCTCGAAGGAAATGAAACAGGCGTTGATGGAAGCGGAACAGGGGCGGAATGGTGAGATGTGGCGGGCGATACTGGATCAGATGGTTCAGACATCGTACTAAACGATGTTAGTTCCTAGAAAAAGAAAGAGAAGTATGGATCACTTGATAGTTGGTACTCACGATGTGAATTGTGGGGACGAAATGATATCGAAGTAATAACAATCTGAATGACGACGGAGAAAATGGGGAAAAGATGGGTTTCAGATGAGAAGAAACTGAAATGCAAGCAGACGTTCGAAGAGAAGAGACTCGAAAAGTGTGTTGCAGAGAAGAGATGCTTGTAGCATGAAAGAAAACTTTGTATCGTCGGTCTTGAACCATAAGAGGAGCGGTTACTCGCATAGAGCCCCGACGCCAATTTGGGCTTCAGACCCGTACCTTACACCTTTTGGACTATAGCGGTGCCACATCAAGATATGACTCTGTTTATGTTACTGTGAAGAAGTTTCCATTATGATCAAGCTACGTTGAGTTAAATGTTCTGAGCATCTATTGATATTTGAGAAGAAAAATAGTTTCAGCATGTGGAGCAGTCTACTGAACAGTGTACAAGCGTGGGAGTTAGGGAATACTTTAAGAGAATAATTGTGCTAATCTGCAGAGTATTGTAACTCTTTTCTTTTTCTCTGGCCGTGTTAGCCTTGAATGGGAGGGGAGAAAACAACACCCCAAAAAAAGCCAAAAAATATAACAAGTGAAGAGGCAGAGAGAGAGAGAGATCATAGAGAACAGATTTTCCGCAACTATGTAGAGACAGTATCGTGGATGCGAGACTGCGAGTTGAATAGTGGCATAGCCGCAGAATAGTAAAACCAATAAATGTGGCCCCACTATCAATTTGCCTCTCAGCTGGAGGCGAAACAACCAGGATCGACCGACAAATTTTCAGATTCTTCCTTATGACCGCGCTCAAAAAGCCTCGGCCTATCACAACCTTGCTACTTACTGATCTACAGGTGGAAATCTCCTTCTACACTACGTACGGAAAACCATTCTGAAAAAATTTGTTTATGTTTATTTAGAAATTTTGAGATAATATCGAACTCGCTGGACGACACTCAAAACATCCCCATGCAGATAACCCGCTCACGATCGAAGAGAGAACAGAAGCAAAGAATCAACATCGCACTCACCAAAACCCGGATCCGCAGCTTTGACCATGACGACCGACGCGGGCCTGGAACAATCTTAACCGGACGAGACTTATCCTTTTCGGTAATCTCCTCAGACCCATATCGCAACACGAGCATATTCTGTCCATGGAACAAACCGGAGGCAACAACCTTCTTCAACTGCTTCTGGCGATACTGCTCGATATCCAGTCCATCACGAACAGCAAACCAAGCATCCCGGGAGCCAGTCGCAAGTAATTCCCGCAGTTCATTCTGGAAAGGCGTATAAAGCTCACGAAGCTCATCAGGCTTCTCGGACAGGAGCTCAGCGAAGTCATCCACAAACTGCAAGAACTGCACAGTAACAACCATGTCCAAGCCAGCCTGGAACTCGCGCGTAGACAGACCATAGTGGTGCAGGACGCCGATCTCCAGGATCTCAATCTGATGCTCCATAGTATGGTGAATAATTGCCAGGAAACGGTCGACGGGAACGTCAATAACGAGCTGGCCCTCGCCCTGGTCCCAGACGCCCCAGAGGTCCTCGTAGTTCTCGATAGGGGACTCGGGCTCGAAGAAATAACCCTGCAAGCGGTCGGACTCTAGGTCGAAGCCCAGCACCAATCTGGCGTTGCTAAATTCGTTCTGCATGTCGGGGACGGGGAGGCTGACGGAGACCACTGTTGGGTTTGTGTAGGCTGGGATGTTGTTGAGGACTGGCTCATCGTGTAGGGTGACTTGTGCGAAGCCGGTGGTTTCTAGGAGGTGGCACTCTTTCTCGCGACGGAGCTTGTCGCGCCCGCTTTCGATGTGTGAGAGGTAGACGTAGTAGTCGATCACGCCCCAGGGATGGCGCATGTAGCATTTCGAATGAGATGCGAAGGATAACTCATAGGGAGGTGCTGGCTGGGATTTCGTAGCGACGGTGTTCTCGGGATTAGGGTCCTTTTGGGAATCCTCGGGGGAGCTAGGGTTAGTAGACTTAGTAGGCTTTATCCACTTAACGGAATGAATGGGGCCCATATCGACGGCGAGTGGGCAGAGTCGGGGGCTCTGCATGGCAGTTAGGAAGTCAGGTCTTAATTGTTTCTGGTTGCAGGGGTAGTGTCTCGTCTGCGGTCGTAAGAGTTGACGAAGGAGTTGATCCGTGACTCGTGATGGTTAGGACAATCTATAATGACGGTTGTGTTTGGTGCGAGAGACTTTTCACAGAGGACAGCGGCGATCTCTTTAATGGAATGACGGATGGTGAAGAGTAGGCACATGAGTAGGATAAAACTCTTGAGCTCGAGGCGCGCGGAGAGGATATGGGTGAAGAGCTCAGCGAAGGACTGCGTGCTTTCTTCCTCGTAGATGAAGTAGTAGAGGATATTAACAGGTAGAAAGTTACAGCTGCTTGAACGACCTGCACCATGCAATGCACAATCACGTAGGTGATAGAGCCAAAGCACAGAACGAACCCAAAGCACACGAGAAACAAGATCCAGTCGATACGTGTAGAAAGGTCCTGGAGGAATAAGTCAGTAGAGGACATAAGGCTCGCAACAGATGGGACAGCTTACAATGTAGAAAGCTTATATGCAGTTGAAGAATGAAACTGTTGGATAGTCAATTAGTTTGCGTTAGTTTGATATGTTGAGATGGTAATGGCATTTAATCTCAAGTCTTGGAGAGGAGGTCCCCTTTTGTACTTTGAAAAGGCCTTGGAGGAACTATGGCCTCTCCCAAGAAAGAAAGTAATAGTACAAAGGCATTCTAACGAGTTCGTCTCCCTCGAAGGGAAACTGATAGAAATAGAAGAATATAAAGAGCACAAAGGCCATTCGCCCACAAAGTTCTTGTCTGAAGAGTTCATCCTGTCAGAGTAATCCTATTTTATTGGACTCGGCTTTCAACGTATAATGCCCCTGTTGGTTCTTTTTATGGCCGAGCTTCAAAGGGAAATAAAGCCGGGGTCGAGCGAACAAAGACTCGATTCAATATCGTTGGATATTGAGGGACAAAGGGTCTTCGATATTAGCTAGATCAATGTTTTATCGATTGACAGTATTAGAACAAAGAACACGGGGTGGATTTGGCTCTTTTGTCGAGAAATCAAGGGTTTCATGTAGACATAGACTCGGTTCTGGGCCGTGTAGACTCAAAGGCAGGACAAGGCCGTTCTATTCCGGTAATAAGGAGTCTTTGTTTCCCCCCATTGGATTCCATACCTATATTCACAATATAAGAGAGCTTGTCCCTGAATCTTGCGTGTCAGGCTTATTCCCTAGCAGAGTTCTCAGGGAGAAAAACAGAGTCTCCAGGGCTCTATCCAAGGCAGCCTCATAACAAAGGCCAAGCCCCTCCAAGGTCTCAATTAACTAACCACTAACATGGACAGGACAGTGTATTCCGTACGCGCTGAGTATGTGGAGGTGCTTGGCGATGACGTCTGGGTCAACGTAGGCTCTCGGTTCTTCGACGATCCGGACAACGAGGAGCTGACCGTAATTCTTCCTGAAGAAATGGGCTATACCCATAGCGACGGAGATATCATGAGGTATGTACTTCATAACGTGGGGACGATTTGTATTTCGATCTGATTCCGGTTGGTACTGCTGACACGACTGCAATCTTGGTTCGTGCCGAGACTGATGCGAACAAGTGACTCGAACATATCTGTAATGGGATGGTGACCCTTGACCGGGAGGTTATTTTTTGTCGGTAACCCGTGGGCTATCTAGGCGTAGCACTCTATAGGCATGATGATAGGGAGGACAAATAGTATAGTATGGGTTGTCGAGGATGCGCAAATGGAAATATCTATTTTCTAGTAGAGACCGATCTACAAGTCTGAGAGATAATAGATATCCGTCGGAATTGAGATTGAGCTTAATACCTATATACTTGATATACGTTCTTCATGTTGTATGGGTATCATGCAACATAACAATTCCATCACGAATACTAGCTGTATAAACTCGGAACATAAAGGTAATGATATTGGAACAAGCTCTCTGCCTAGCTAAAAGGGAGGGTAGGCGTACAGGCCAAGCTTTTTCATGCTCTTCAGACTCGCTTCAAGGTCCCATCGATCTCAACATAGCTCTCGAAGACCCGATTCCCCTTCAACAGTCTCTCCATTGGCCCCCAAAACTGCGCGCGGAATCGCCGCCCGACATTGAATTACATCGATACAAGCCTTCTGGCCTAGAATGATGCCGGACCACATCTTTGGAACAACTTCTTTGCTCACAACCAATGCGACAGTCTCGTGTTGGAACAAGGTACTGGAGAATTCGAAGACGAAGCCAGCTTGGACTCGAGTCATATCCTGTTCCGGTAGTGGTTGTGAATGGGATCTGACAAGTGGGTTCTGAATTCGTCCGAGAGGATATATATCACTTGTGACGATGATGATTGTCATATCTGCGCCGGTATCCCAATGCATTTCGATTCGACGTCTGACGTACACCGCTAGTCAGGTGTCAATGCGTACATAGCTATGGAGCTTCAATGACGGCCTTCCCTGGCGAATCAGTAAGTTTCTCTGTGGGAGTTTCCTCTACGAATTTCTTGAGCTAGTTCGGCGAGTGTCTCTTCCTCAAGTATCCGAGGAGATTCTTCCCACAATTACTCTAGTATCATCGCCATCCACTTTAGGTCACTAGTCAGAGGTAGTGCTCTAGTGGAGACACAATATCACCAGCATGGCAACCGTAGAGTATGACATCCGCATTGTGCCATACCGTCAGCAAAATCGATTACAGACAGCTTAACATTTCCGACAACTGTTGCCATGATATTTTCATCCTCAACAGTGCCGAATGACCAGTCGACTAGCCCGCGTTCTGTCTACAGGTTTTCTAGAACAGTTGCCGGGCCTTTGTCGGGTACGGTGGTATCGCTAGCAGCTGATTTCAGAGATTCCTTCCGGGAAATGGGGGAGGGAAGGGCGGGAGGCGGCGATCTTTCTCTGTTACCAATATTGACATTGGCGACCCGAAATCTCGTAAATGGAATATTTGGCTTACCATGCAAGCCTATCCTTTTCAGAGCTTACCTGGATACTTGTTCGTACTCAAGGCAATGTACATCCCTCTCAACCTTAGCAATACGGCGACGTAGACTAGCAAGTTCCCCAACTTTCAGGCTTGGTTGTGGTTCCGCCTGGGGCTGAGGCTCGGTGTTTTGCAAGCCTATCACATCCGTCAGAAGTCCGTCTACAGTCTCCTTGACATTTCTCCTAACCTCCCTGTCCCTTTGATCCTTCGATGTGAAGAAGCCACCCATGTGCATCGATGGAAAGTTGCCTGGCAGATTCAGATGTGCCGACCTCAACAACGCATCTTAGTTGAGAGTAGGAGGTCAGGAGGGGCCAACAGAGGTCTGGTTCTTTGACCTAACCGTCAAGTACATTATTTGGCGAACCAAGCGTTATGCACTACTCGTCGTCGACATTCATTGCGAGAAGTTGTCGTTCGATGAGCTTCCGTAGTAGGCTAATCAGAATCTCGTAGTCCCAGCCAGGCAGGACATATAGAAGGGAAAGCAGCAAAGCACCACACAGACTGTGTTGAATAGTCGCACACGAAGGTTGAGGGCATAGGGTTGTGGTGGCGGTGGTCTGTTTTATGTCTCACCGGAGATGCAGACGTTCGACAAAACAGAGGATAAATACTAGCCAGAACCACATCTTGACCTGTGTAGTTAATATATCCATTGCGTTTGAGCTCTGACCCCGTCCAGAATAAACATCATAACCCAAGACGTTCATAAGCCTTAGAATACTCATTTCGAAATGTTTGGTTAGAATTAGAGGCTTAATGTTAGGAACTACACATAGTACAAAGACTGCTAAAGCCATTGTAGCAATGAAAGGTCTTTGTTATTTTCATGAAATATTTCAGATCGCCTCTCAACTGTCACTTTATAAACCCTCGGTGTCATTGCCTCAAGTCTAACTCGGCATCACCCAGAAAAGCATTCTTCTATTATCGACATGGAGAAGGGAAAAATGCCCATTTACCAAGGGCACACCTCTTCACAGAACAGTGAGCCCCCTCAGCCCTGTTCAAACCCGCTAACCACCAATATCCCAAGCAAGTTCCAGCCAAGCGTGTACAAGGGCACAAACGGGCAATATTTCGCCGAGCCCGCCGGCGATCGAAGCGACTACTACTGGGTCACCGTGTATTTCGCGGAAGATATCGACCACCGCGGCATTCCAGATTCAGAGATCATGCTATATGTCAAGGACATGATCGGTAAGGGCCACTTCACTATAGACGATCAGTCAATGCATGGGTTAGGAAAAAAGTGTCTCTCGATCCCAATCAAGCGCGATCCGGATACGCCTCTACCTAAGTCATTTATGCCTGATCCTACGCATCCCGATCTCCTTCTTGCTCAAAATCTGGCGGCGTATTGGAAGGATCAGATTGCATTCAGGAAGGTTAGTCTTGATCAACGGATGATTTTTGTTGAGACTCGTCGTAAGATAGTGAGTATAGAAGATATGTTGGATGTGGGAGTTACTCTGATGGATCCCTGGCGCATTTAGTTTGTTCTTTGTCTGTTATTGTGTCGAGGTCGAGTTCTTTGGACTCGAACCTTTCAGGCTTATTTGAATATTAGAGCAATCAATGCACTGCTTTTTCCCTGCTATGTTTAAATATCCCATTTTCGGTGTCTTCGTAAGAGTAGGATTAGTATAGTAGACTTGTCGCTTGATAGCTGTCAAGAGAAGAGAAGAAACGTCGAAATATATGGCATGCAAGACATATAGATTCTGGAATTCCAAGAACCGTGGCAACTATATTACGACTTAGTAGAGGGCTAATAGATCGATGTCCTTCCGCAAATATTGGGTGGGATTTGACTGCATTGGACATGATCCTTGCTAGTCCTCTTTAGCATCTTCTATGAAAAGCCATAGTCATTCTTATAAGAGGGAAGTAAATTTAATACTTGAAGAGGAAGAACAAAGAGACGTCTAAAAAAGTAAACAAGATTAATATAGAATATCAAGCTAAACAATAAGTATAGAGAGAAAGGTATTATAGCCATGAAAGGACTTCGTTCTCTCATTATTCCCTATTTAGAATAGACGGTATGTCCTGCAGTATATAAACCCTTGGCGTCCTTGCCTCGAGTCTATCTCACCATCACCATCATCGTCCCTGAGAAATCCACTCTATGATGCCTTCTTACCAAGCGAGTGTGTTCCAGTCGAGCCAGCTCGAACATGGCCGGCGGTTCCATTTCAGGGACCCCCACAACAGCCAGCCAGGTTGGATCTGGGGTACCGTGACTCTCCCGGATACCATGGGCGTTGGGACCGATGACAGGGAGATCATACTCCATATATGTGATACCATCGCAGCGGGCTTGGTTAGTTGGGGCTATAGAGCGATGCACGGCTTGGGGAATTACTCTGTCTCGTTCCCGATCAAGGTGGAAACACCCGAGCAAAACTTAGAGAGGTTGATGGCCCTGATTGATTATGCTGCACTGTGGTGGGTGAGTTTCATCCGCGACGGGAATGTTTCTATTGATAAGCACATGCTTTTCCGGGCTCGTCAGCCGCCCCCAGATCGTGATGACCAGTTGTTGGAGGTGCCTTTGCATTGGGATAAGCCGAAGTACACGGTTCTGAATCCGTGGTCTGCCATTACTGTGCTGGGGTAGGTCGTGGAGATTAGAGTGACGTGGGATTTGTTAAGGGTATTTGACTTTAACCCCTAGGACGTTTGGTAGGTTGATATGTGACATATTTTGAATGAAACAACTGAGTGAGAAAACATGGTAGCCCAAGTAGATGAGTAGGATGAAAGGCTAGAATTTGCCGCAGTAACGCCAGTATGATACAATTGGTAACCGGAAATAGCTTACCAGGTCTTTATCGATGAGATTTTAGATCCACCTTAGCTGTCTCGCCTTTCTCTCACGCTCTTTCCTTTTCTGCATGAGGGTATATCCACACCCGGCACCTGTCGCATACCCACCTAGATGGGCCGCGTGGTCCATCTTGGTCAGCCGGGAGAGGGGCCAAGCGCGGAATAAGAACGCGGGAGCTATCAAGCTGAAGACCTCGGTGCCAACCAGGCAGGTAAGGAAGACCCAGCCGTAGGTCCAGATTTGGTCTTGGAGCCCCCGAGGAAGAATCCACATGGTGAGTTTGTCACTACGGAGGGTTAGCATAGGTAGTACGCAGAATAACAGCCGGAAAGACAGTGGGAGACAAACTTGAAATGAGACATGCACCATGCGGCGACGATACCGCTGGTTGCGGCACTAGCTCCAAGGGAGGTCATGCCCAGGCGGCCAAGGATGACACTGCGTGTCAATGAGAAGACAGATCCCATCACACCGGAAGCGAAGTAAATGCCCAAAAAGTTTCCACGGCCGATTTCATCGTGGACTGTAGAGCGGGAAAGAGTTAGGACCCATATTGTCTGGTGCTTCTTCTAGCCACAATGCATACCTCTGGTTCCCATAAGTCCTAGGACCATCATATTAGTTCCAAGATGTCTCCATGTCTGATGACTGAACGTGCTTCCGATCATACCCAGTGAGCTGGGATAGAAGGGAACAATCACGAAGTAACGGTTGAGCAATTTCCATGCGGGAGGTATGTATTTCCATAGCAAAGTGACTGCTACATTAGCTGCCACAATGGCGCCAACAGTAGCCACAGCAGGAGGTACATCTGGCATGATGCGGTCCTTTCGTGCTGGGAACTCATACTTCTGAGCGAATGTATAGCAAAGGGCGAGAACCACGATGGAGAACAGAAGCGGAGCGAGCAGACGCTGAGACTGCCATGTCAAATATGGTTAACAATCGAACAATTCCACGGAGTGAACTATCCTTACATTGGTGATATTCATTGATTCGGGACTCTCGTTAGTAGCGGCAATATGATGCTTCTGAACCCAAGCGAGATACGGCCTTTCGATAGGATCCGCACGGGGACGAGCTAAAAATGTCAACACCAATACGAATCACCCAAACTGGAATCCTAGCGTACATACCCTCAGTGAGCGCAGCATCTTGGTACTGCTGCAGGGAAGTATTCTTCCCAAACTCACGCTTCAACCGTTCTTGTTCTTCTTTCTCGCCATCGAGCCATTCCTGCCTTTTCCGTTCCTGTTCAGCCAACAAGCGCTTCTCATTCCTCTCGCGAGCCTCTTTCAAAACACTCTTGCCATAAGGAGAACCCTCCTCGCCGAGCTCGGCGTCATAAGAACCGCTCTGCGGCTTATACAAGCCTAGCTTCTCAGCACGGCGCACGAGCTTCTCTTCCGCAGCGCGATCCTCACGTTCAATGCGGGCGAATATAGCAGCATCCTCATCGACGGGGTATTCACCACGGAGCCATTCCAAAGCAGTATCAACCTGTTGCTTGGTGACAGCGCGGGCAACGTCAACTGGCAAGTCAGCGTCGAGGGTGCCGGTCAGACGGTGGCCGTGCAGGACGGCCAAGATACGGTTTCCTAGCTTTGCGTTGAATTTGGCTGGGCCAAAGATGGCTCTGATCTCGGCATCGGAGAAGGGCTTTTGGCGAGGGAGGGCCTCCGAGGGATCTGATTTAGGCTTCGGCTTTTGGGATGCGGCGGATGTACGTTTGAAACGGCGGGGGGTAGAGACCAGGTTGAATCGTTGCGGGGATACCTGGGTCGGAGTTGGCCGAGACCGGCGAGAGAATAATTGGGATAGAAGGTTCGGGATTGGCAACATGGATTGGCGCGACGTGCTGTACATGCGCCATGGGGTAATGCGGAGATCGCGACTGGCAACTCGGAACGCTATTGGCAGCACTGAGGTGCGGAGCCCTGGGCATGGAGCCCGCCATACGGCCCAGACCACATTGCTCATATCCTGTGACTGGAGAGCGAGGGCTCAGAGAGGACCACGGAGTAGAGGGTGGTGGGTGATTGTTCGGGGATCTTTTTGGCGGTATCAATGGATCGCACGGCTGCAGAGTTGTTCCGAGACCGCGATTGCAGCAAGAAAATGAAAATGAAAGGAATTATTTGAATATGCTTCATTCTTTAAGTATATCATTAGCTTAAACTATAGTATCATAATTTCTATCGACTCTTAATTTACACTAATACTCATCAATCTCAACACTTCCATCGGCCACATCCAGGGCTGATCTATAACCCCCACGTGATGATAACATGATAAGGACAATCCAAACAGATCAGCCCGTATTGATCCCAACTGTACCTTCCACCTCTCACAAAATAAACCTCAAAATGTCAACTGAATCCCTTCCCATAACCACAGGAGCCTTTGCTGAAGCAATTAAAGAGCTGCCCATGGCAGTCCTCTACAGCAAAGTCTCCGAGCTCACAAACTCCATCGCACACCTGCACCGCTCGAATGCCGAGCTCCGCGCATTCTTAACAGAAAGCAACGACTCGGAAGAAGATAAGAAGGAGCTTGAAGGGTATATCACTGAAAATGAGGGTGTGGCAGTGTCCATGAATGAGCGGATCTTGCTGGTGAAGACCGAGGTCGAGAATCGTGGACAGCCTTGGATTGAGCTTGATGAGCTTAAGATCGACAATGAACAAGGAGCTTCGACAGATGTGCCGGTGACGAATGGAACCGAGACTGAGACTGGGACTGATGCTAGGGCTGGGGCTGAGGGTGCAGGACATGAGTCCAATGATCGAGAGGATGGGGATGGAGTGTATCTGTGACCAATTCGGTGGGTCATCTACGCGCAGCCGGCTTGTCTAAGCTGCTTGGGCTGCTCAAAATCTTCAAAAGCATTGTCACCAGTGCGTCAGTGGCATTCGGCCGCTGTTATTTGCGGCGCTTTACTGCATTTACGTGTGGGTCGAAGATCAACCTATGTCAATTGGCTATGTTTCACAACATCCATACGGAGGACTTCACAGCACAATGTACACGCCTGAAGCATAGCGGTCATCCTACGAATAACTCCTGAGCCTTGGGGACGCTCACATTTTCTGTAAGCGCTAGGCACACTCGAGCTACCAGGTCCAGACAAAAATGGAATGTATCTAGTGGATCATTTACAACCCCAACTCTCATCATGGAATTATGATCAGATGAATGTATTGCCATGGGTAGATAAAAAAAAATGCAATGACCAGCTGATGCTGGATGAAGATATGCAAGATCATCAAGTAGAATAATAATTCACAGCGCATGCTAAATGCTCAATCAAAGCCCCAGCTTTGTGTCATATCATCGCAAATTCGCCCATTTTTGGAAATGGCAGGAGAAAGCAGAATACTAGCAAAGTAAGACAACGCGGTCCAACGCCAGGTTAGCGGATATGTCATAGTCGTCAATGTAAAAACAAAAAAAGTGGAACTCCAGACCCGTGGAGCTTAAGTGGCGGCCTGCTGGGCCCAGTGACCACCGTTGAGCGCCTCTGGGGGAACCCGCTGCTGCTTGATGAACAGCTCAATCAAGGGCTGCATGGGCTCCATCTCCTTATCGGACACAAGCCCGTAGTACTTGGAGACAGTCACGAAGTGAACGAAGCACATGTTCAGGACATCGTGCTTGTTAATGTGCCAAAAGGGGTTGAGCCAATGAGCGTGGTACAGATGGGCGTAGCAGCGGAACATCTGCTTCATGATACCCTGGCAGTCCTTGTAAAAGGTTGGCGGGAAGCCACTGGACTTGCCGATCCAGTCATCTGGGTTGGCGGGATCGGAGGGAGTTGTTGATGCGCCATTGGCCTCTTTGATGGCAGATGTCTCGGGAGTGCCGTTTACTTTTTCGGTAGGGAACATAACAGGGTCGTGAATCTTGCTGACGATCCATTTCTCGACGCGGTTGATGAACTTCGGGGCGGAGATTTTAGCGGCGCGGCCGTCAACAAGCCAGGTATAGGTCAGCCTTTGGATTCGTTAGCTCGGTTCATAATTTACCCCGCCATACTTCACATACCGTCCAGCGGACATTGTTGGGCAAGTGTTTTCATTGCAAATGGGTAGACCGGTCACGGTGTTCACCTCCTGGATAACCTGAAGCATGCCGTGGAGTAGGCGATATTGTTCAACAACTAAAGCAGAAACATATTAGCCTCCTCGCTCTCAAGATAAGCTTCCACATTGCTTACTCTGGTGAGCCAGCCACTCGCCCAGCTCCACATTCTTGGGGCAAGCACAGAGGGTCAAGAAGTTGCCCCTCACATTCAGCGGGGCATACTTCTCCTGGAAGAAGTATTTGGGTCCCTCGGGATCGTTCGCTTGGTTCTCCACCGACAGACTGCTGGAAATCGAGGGCGAATTCGACATGGTAGCTTGATGCTGGGGAGTAGAGGTCTGTGCTGGGCTTTTAGGGGGATTGTTGCTCTTGTTGTTTCCTCCCCGGCCAAATCCTTGGCGACTGTATTCAAAGCAAAGTTAGCGGGCGATCGTGGAGAGGTATAGCTGTTTGAGAATGATGTGGAAACATATAAAAGAAGTAGATGTAGATGTCAATCACAGGAGGCGACAGGGGAGGTATTAGACTTTGGGCAATAGAATGCTCCTTTGTATTTGTGGCGCCGGGGGATTCTTCGTGCAGTATGAGGGGGTAAAGGTAGAAGGGAGATTGAACAGCCGATGGCAACAAGTCCACAAAGGCGCAACATCACTTACACGCTCTGGAAGAAGGTCGCCATCTTTAAAATGATCAGCAATGCTTCAAATCAAGAAAATAACGGGGATGAGGGACGAGACGGTGAGATGGCCACATGTTGAGGATCCCCTTTTGGTCTGGGCCATCGAGCCACTAGTCCTATTTTGGTCCGGAACCGGATAATGTACAGCCCCGCGCGTCAATTGAATTATGGGAGCTCCGTGATGAATGGCAGATAGAACAATTGTCAATACGCTATCGACGATATATCGGATCGTTTACTCCCAGTATAACATTAAGAACAACTTCATACCTTCTTTATCGTCACTCGCACTTCCACACATCTACGACCTTGCAACAACAATTAAATTCCATGCACCATGTCCTCCGATGAGGAGGGCGTCCGGCGCCCCAGCAATGGCAATGAGAGCCCTGGGCCCAGCAATCCCCATGATTCTGGCGCCGAGCAAATGGATGAAGGCGATGATCTCTTTGGGTCGGACGGAGAGGGCGGACTCGATGACATTGAGTATGCAAATCACACCAAAGCGACAAGAGCTAGTTACTGATAACATTGCCAGACCCCACCGCACACTGGATGATGAACAACTTGACTCAGGTGACGATGAGAACCGATATGATCGGCGCGAAGACCGAATGGAAGATGTGGCTGAGGAGCAGCAGGAAGTCAATGTTGCTGACCAGGACCTTGCTCGGGCGCCAGTGCCATTGACAAACGATGGAGAGGTAGGACGAGCTTCTACCTGAAGCCTTTGGTATTCATCTAACTCCTGGTAACAGGTCTACACAATGCGTGTGCCGGATTTCCTCTCAATCGAAGGGGAAGAATTCAATCCCGAGACTTACGTCCCGCCGCCTTACCAGACCGCCGCTACCTCCCTTTGCTGGCGCAAAGATCCTGCGGATGAGTCTCTTTTGCAGTCAAATGCCCGCATTATTAAATGGGAGGATGGCTCTATTACTCTTCAACTCGCCTCCGCCCCCCTGGAGCAATATCGCATCGCATCTAAACCCCTCGCGCCTCTTACCAAGTCTGGCGATTATGACCACAAGCTGGACTCCCACGTTTATCTCGCAGCCGGACTGGAAACAGCCCAAGTTTTCCGATTGACCTCACATATCACCCAAGGTCTAACGATTCTCCCGACTACATTGGAGGCGGACGATGCCGTTCAGCGACTGCAAGAACAATTGGCTGCTGCTGCTCGTGGTAGCAAGCAGACCGCAGCTGGCACCGCGCCGCGCTATGAACTGACAGAGGATCCCGAGTTGGCTAGTAAACGTGCTGAGATGATGGAAAAGGAAGCTATCAAGGCCGAGCGTCGTCGCCAGCAGCTTGCTGATCGCGAGGCCGACCGTGGTCGCCGCCAAGGCGCTACTCGTCCTGGTCCTAGCGGTCTTAGTGTCGGTGGTCTCGAAGATGCCGGTTTGCTCACTACTCGTCCACGTGCCAAGCCTCGCCGCCAGAACCGCCGTGGCGAGATCTACACCGACGACGAAGAGGATTACTCTCGTGGTGCCCGTAACAGAGAAGACGAGTACGATGAGGACGATGGATTCTTGGTTGGCAGCGACGAGGAGGTCGAGGAAGAAGCCGAAGATGAAGAAGAGGAGCTGGAAGATGAAGACATGGATGCTGAAGGTGAAGATGATGTGGAGGCTACACCTGCGAAAGCTGCCCGTAGCAAGCCAGAGCCTCAAGCCAGGGCTGGTACACCTCCCGCCCGAAAGAAGAACCGCTACGTGGTGGACGACGAGGACGACGAGTGAGCTTGTAGGGTTCCATTTCTCTCGCAGGTTCTTTTCCTTTTCACGCTTTCGATGCAGTTTTCTTGTTACATATCCACATGGTCCGGCGTCATCTACATGGACAGGCATTCGAGGGACAGTGAGGCTCATTTCACTCTGACATGATGCTTGTACAACAAAATTAATGAAATAGTCAATGATATATCAGCCTAGCTTCGTACCAGCGAAGCAGTGTATATTTGCATAGTAGAGGCCAAGTGGTATATAAACAATCATAGTCTCAGACCTATTCAAAGTGAAGAAAACAGACAACCGAACCCAGCCTTGAATCACCGAACCTCCTTTTTTCTTTTTCTTTAATTTTCTTTTTCATGCATATGCTCAAGTATGCGCTTTGTGCGTCGCAGTGACCGGCTCAACGCCCTCGGGATATTCTGAAGGATCAAAGTTGAATCTGGCGATCACATCTCTGGCACTTCCAACCACACGAAGGCATAAAAACTCCTTTTCACTATGATCATCCTGATCCTGTGACTGGGCCGAGTCCGGCATGGACATTGGGTTGGACTCTCCAAGTGGATGGTTCCCAGGTTCATGGAAGCGGCGTTGCCGATTCTCGATTTCCATAATCATGGACAGCAGATCTGGCTGCTCGGAACACGCAATCATAGCACTTGGCTCAACGGGACCGCCAATGACAGCGCGACGAACAACTTGGCGGAGCCATGATTTCCAAACTTGTGCTGGGTCAGGGCTTTGGAGTGCCTCAGACACGTATTGCGGAAGCGCAGACTGCGTCCCCAGTTCAACAGCATCGGCTTGCAAGACGCGCAGCCACGAGTCCGCAGTGACGGTTAATAGAGTCCCTATGAACATGATATTTTGAAGGCCCGTTGAAAAGACCTTGGGACAAACTTGGCAGCGGATCACGTCTCGTGCTGTTCGCGCAGCGATATATAGCGAGCATAGAGTGTGGGAGTTGACGGGGAAGGAGGAGATTGATGTCATATGGCTGAGGGATAGGTAAAGGTATGATAAACACGGACACCCAGACGTTGCGGAGTCTGAGGAAATAGAGGTGGCAGGAGACAGCGGGAGTGAATGCATGGAAGGGAAAGCTGGAGGGGTGGGGAATGGCATTGGCATGGCCGTGGCTTCAGAGATGGCCGAGAAATCAGGCCAAGGGGAAGATGATGCGGGGACAGGAAGGTTTGGCTGTTTCAGACGCTCTGGCCTCCAGGCATGGTTGTGGTCTTCATAACCTGACAATAAATCTGCGGGCTGGGAAAGATCTGAAGGCTGGGACTCTGGCAAATTCATGTTCGTG